ATTCATTCCAAAAAGCTCCCTTCTTCCACTGAACTGATCCCAACCAACCTATCTTCTCATCCTTACATACTAACCTAAGCCTAGCATTTAGCCTTAGTGGCCTACTTATAACTTCATTCCCACAGTTAATTCTGGGCACTATCCCTAACAAAATTAAGTTATGGCTTTTTTCTTTAAATGCCTTTATCAACCTCTTGTACTAATTAATTAGCTCATTTGACCCACCTTTCCCTAAATCATTAGCCCCTATATGCACCACAAAACTGCATGTCTGCTAGCCCCCTTTATTATACTCCTACTCTATCAGTTATATCCTCCACCTGTGCCCCAGGATAGCGTAATCTGATTCTTTTCTCCCTGTTTACCCCACAGACTATCCTATCCATATATCTTGTCAAGGAATAACCTATAACTATAACCTACTTATCATCCACATCCTTCTCTGATCCTTTTGTTTTCCTTCCCTCCAATAGTTCCTCATATGCAGAAGCCAAGGGCTGAAATTTGTTGCTCAATATAATAGGTTCATTACAATTAAATTCGCTACTTTTCGCCCTAACTTAAAATCTTCAAATCCTGCTGCCATTTCTCACAGTCTACACTTCTCTTTATCTATTGCCTCTACTTTAATCATGATAGCCTCCAACTTCTCCTAACCTATAAACTCTACATACAAATTGCATATCTTCATTAATAGCTTCCTTAGAAGTACATTCCAGTCCCTAGTTCCCAAATAAAACCAACTTATTGCACCAATTACTCCTAACAAACTGTGAACACATAATTCCTACACTAGTCTAAACCATTGTATTTATACTTATAGCCAGAAAATAAATACTCAATACCAATAACCTATTATCAACACTGTTACTGTTAAGCCTAACGTTTAAGAACCAGTTATTTTTTATCACTACTTTGTCTTCTCACTAAAGTAATAAAGTTTATCTTTAATTATTTAGAATTTAATAATGCATTAGAACAATATAGGTAACGTTAATAATACAATGTATTTAGCCTAATTTATATCATAACCTACCTATATCTATAAGCTGAATTTAAACTAATGGATCTAAGTTCAAGTAAACAAGTTCATTCTTACAACACCAGGAGACAATAAACTAGTTTTATATCGTATTTATTTAACAAAACATTGTATTTATTCCGTTTTACGACTTACCAGTAAGTTGAAATAAACCTAAGCCTAAAGTACCATTGCACGTATTAAACCTATTTTAACGTTGTAGTAAAATTTACACCATCAAACTTTAAGTTAAAACTTTGACTGTCTTACACTTATTTACCAATCTTACTATATCTAGTTATTTTTGTGTTAGCTAACGCAAATTACTACAAATTATAATATAAATATTACATAATTTTCAGAAATTTATAAGAGCTTAACTTTTCAACGATCTCCCTCTCTCTCTTCCGTCTCTTCCTCTTCAATTCTCTTCCTTAACTTTGACTTTATCATCACCAGTTAAAAATCTTCAGTTCTCCTTTAAATACTGCTATAATACTGTTACGACAGCGAGGGTCACGTGACTCTAGTAACACGTCATATTCTCGATGGTTCGTGAAGTCTCGAGCTTTTACTAGATATGCGGTAGTCTTGTATATATAAGCCGCCAAGAAGTGACGGCAACAAGGTGTAATTGACAGTTGAGTCGAGCACGTGAGACGTTCGTTGTGAATTATAGCGTTTGTTATAGCGCGACTGTTGAAATTAAGTGTATTGCAAAGTTGTATTCAGAAAGAATAAACCAGTTTTATTTAAGAAAGGACTTGTATCGGTAAAGTTTCTTCGGAAATAATTTTTACGGAAAACTAACTAACGACCAGAGAAGTAACAATATATTGATTTCATATATTAAATATTAAATAATCATATTAAATATTAAATATTCATTTTCCTACACACTTATTAGGATATACATACAGACCTTCAGGCTTGGGCCACTTGTTTGTTTGTTCTACAACACAAAGCTACATAATGGGCGATCTGTGCTGTGCCCACCATGGGTATGGAAACCCGGTTTTTAGCGTTATAAGTGGATAGACTTACTGCTGAGCCACAGAGGAGTTCATTATGTTAAAATTAATTAATCTTTGTATAGCAAATTTGTATGCTGTTTTGTATTCATCAGATAAACATTTAATTTCCATGT